TCCCCCAACAACAGCCCCTCCCCCAACTGCAACAGCCCCGCCCCCAACTACCACAGCCCCCTCCCCCAACCACCACAGCCCCCTTCCCCTATTGCAACTTCCCCTCCCCCTACTGTAATAATACCCTCCCCTCATTGCAAAGATCCCCCGCCCCCATTGCAATAGTGCTCTTTCCCCCCAGAGCAGAGAGGAACTACTGCCCCTTCTGCTACCAACATCAAAGGGGCCATTCATATTGCAAGACACAGAGCAACGATCCCAAAATCCTCCTCACCAGATTCTCTCCCAAAATTTCACATTCCAGGTCTGTCCTCCGCCCAGCAAACATTCAGTTCTCTGAAGTCTGCTGTGTTCTTGTGAGAACGGATACCCGCCCTTTGTCGTCAGTCACTGTTCTACCTGAGCCTCTCCACCTGCATCTCCACCCCTTCCTCATCAGCTGGACTTGGACTTGGTTCTGGAAAGGGTCCTGGGAGCCAAACTGCAAAACCCTGAATCTTCCAAGAAGGGGGAGGGGGAGCCATGAGTGCTGTGTGCCATGCACAAGCGGCCATACAAATTCAACTGCACACGTGGGTGGAGGAGCGTTGAAACAGTGCCAGAGAAGGGCTGCCTGTCCACCAGCGAGCACAGACCCCCACGCACCCTCCCACAGCCTCAGCTCCTCGGCTGTGTTTCTGCTGCTTGAAGGCACTTCACTTTGTCAACATCCTCTATGAACAGGAGACGATTCCATCAGATGATCAGCTGAAAACAAAGGATAGAAGAACCCACAGGACTGGACCCCTGAGAGACAGCAGCAGTCCCCAGCACGGCCCTTCCTCAGGGACTTTCAAGGGCAATCTTGTCGACATGAGACTCTGCAAACTTTATGTGCAGCTTTTAGACCCTGACCCCCAAGGGAGAGGACATGACGTCTCTGTAACTGAAATTTCTGTCTGTCTCTCACTACAAGACACAAAAATAGCCAGATGGGTTTTTGGATTTGGGGGCCGTTTTTAAACTAAAGTTGGAAGGTTTCTTTGTGTCAAAGTGGGCGTAACAAAGGCATCTGAGAGAGGTCACTCCCCTCCAAAGCGTCAGAAGGCAGCACAGTTAGGAGGAACATGGCATTTGTACTAAAAAGCTGCAGCGAAACACAAGCCACAGTGGCTTTCAAGACAAAGCTCAAGTCACAAGTCGCAAGAGCTGAGGATCTGAATTGCGGGTGTCAGTTTGCTGCCGGGCAGCTTTCACCCTAGTGACCACGCAGCGACGTGCTCGGCTGCCTGGAGCAGACAACCATGGTTCTCCAGCAGCCCAGCCAGGCCAGCGGCATGGCAGCGCCCCGCCGGGATCACACGGGTACTGCTGAAAAACTGCAAATGCGCATTTGCACTGACTCTCACAGCTCGTCAGCAGCACAAGCCCCATTAAACTCCATGCGGCAGAAATCTTTGTCTTTTTGTTTCAACACTGTATCCCCAGAGCTTAGAACAGAAACCACTGCAAGAGCAGACACTTCGTAAGTGTGTAGAGTGAACCCTTACACAGTCCTCCGACATGGTGTCCCTGCTTTAAAGTGAGGGACGTGGAGGTCTGGGACTTGATGCCACTGGTCCACGGGAACTGTCACAGAAAGGGACAAGTTTGGAGGGCACTGTTGTGTCACTTTGGGTCATGTGGAATTCAAGGTACTTTGGACACTTCCAGGTAGAGATATCAGCCACCTGCCCTGTATCCAGAAGGGCTTTTTCTCTCCCACCAATTCCTAAAATACCTTTTTATGCCACTTCCCCACTTCAGGCAATTAACACATACTGCCTGGTGTTACGATGGTCTGTGTGTGTGTCTTAGTCTTCTAACTGGTTTGTAAACCTGGTGAGGGGATTAATAGCACGAATCCCTTTTGGTTACCCCTATAGGACCTACCTAACATAAAGGCTATGACAGGTAGCAGGTGCTTAATCCAGGCAGCTTTCCCGAGCTTTCTCTCCAGCAACGACTGTCTGTGTGCTCACCAACTCATTTCTTTTCTTTCTGGACACACAGAAAATATACCTCCTAATCTCCTTTGAAGTTATATGTGGTCTTGCGCCCAAGTTCTGGATAGAATGTGGGCAGAAGAGACACTCAGGTCTCCAGCTGGACCATAGAAGTTCTGCTTAGTCCTCTACACTCTCCTTCCTTTGTCTTTCCCATCAAATTCAGGGAATTCAGGGGTGACTTTCAAGGCCTGAGACGACAGAAGAAACTGAAGGAGCACAGCCTCACCCTCACTATATACACACCTGACCCTCCCTGGACTACGACATGAGTGAAAAATAAAGCTTGCTTTGTTAAGCCAGTGAGATTTGGGGGCTGTTTGTTACTGCAGCTAGCCTTTCCTGACGAATACAATTAGCACACTAGTAAGTACAAGATCTGGGTGCTTATTTCATGATTCCTGGGAAGTGCCCTTTCCTATCAGTTATCACAACAGATCTGAATTTAAATGAAGACACCATTGATGGCAAATGTAATTGGAGCAGGAAGGACTTGAAGTTAGGAGCTGGGCTCCTTGGGTACACAGGCAGCCCTTCTTGTAACAGCCCTTTTCAACACATTAGATGGTAAAGCACTTGATACGGGACTGTTCAGTGTCCCTCCTCATATCCAAGCTCTACCACAATGCAGTCAGTAGACATGTGTTGGATCAATTAACACACGCATATATTGGAAAACAAGGCTTAAAATGGCAATAAACACATATCTATCAATAATTACCTTAAATGCCAGTGGACTAAATGCTCTCATCAAAAGACCCAGAGTGGCAGACTGGACAATACAAGAGCCTACAGTGCGGTGCTTACAAGAGACCACTTAGGGTGAAGTGAGGAGATGCAAAAAGATATTTCATGCAAATGGAAATGGCAAGAAAGTGGGGTAGCAATACTCATAGCAGACAAAATAGACTTTAAAACAAAGGCCATAAAGAAAGATAAACACAGACACATGTTTATTGGGTTCCAATTCCAACCTATTGTTTGGAACAATTTGAAATGTAAGCATTTGGGGGGAAATACGTCTTCTTCCAAGCAGCAGCCACATGCACACTGAGGGAAGCGAAGCTTCGTGCACCTGACGGAAATCAGCCTTTAATTTTCCAGAAGTCTTTCATCCCCTGAGCCAGCAGAGGA